ATTAAAAATAAATGAGTGGAACATTTGGACAAATCTATAATATTTTTTCCGAAAAGCAGAACTTTTAACATTTGGAAAATAAATATTTTTGTTTAAACTTATGCCCCTTCCCCGATTTTGAGTAGACCCACCAGAAACTGAGTAAGACTGCTGATCTGTGGTATTTCGGACCGATTCAATACTTGACAAACAGGTTAGATGCCTGGGCGTTTTCATGGGTTTCCATGCATGTAACTTGAATACCAGCAAGTTTCTCTAAGAAAATACACAATGAAATCTTCTTTAGACTTTGTCTTAATCACTAAGCCCACCATTAACCCATTTTGGATAGTATTTAGTAAGTTAAGGATAGTACTAATTCAGAAATCAAACAACTAAAATCAGCGTTATAATTACAAAATTTTCACAGAACTAGTTTCGATGGTTTTACCGAACCACCATCCTCAGCTGCAAAACCGCAAATGAACAAGATAGGAAATAATGATTAGATAAAATAAGAAAGCTTGGACAAGAATAAGCAAGGGGCGCCATCTGTTGGTGAAACTAGAACTAAAACATAATTTCTTTAAAGGCCAAGGCAAATTTGGATTGGAATTAGGATCGTTAACTAGAACAGAAATACTTTTATGAATGTGAAATGCCTCTAGAAAATCCAGTTCTCCAATGGAAGATGTTTTTTGAATAATTTTGGCAGCAGAAAAATTGAAAGTGTGGTTTTCGGACCAACAACTAGCCCTTGATGAAGAACTAAATTATTTAAAAGCAATAGCTATTGACAGGGGCTTTTCACCCAACATTATTAATCAAGCAGTTAAAAAATTCTCATCTCAACACACTTAAAAGGCACACTCTTGTTTTAGGAGATTATAAAAATTCTGTTGTCATTCCCTCCTTTCCATCAATTAGCTATAAAGTTGCACATATTTTGCAGAAATTTAACTTTCGGGTTGTTTATTCTCCCATCAATAAAATTTCGAGTTCCATATTCAAGGACCCCATTCCGGATATGAATTCCTGGGGTATTTATAGGATTCCTTGCCAGTGTGGTTTAATTTACATTGGTCAAACTAAGAGAGCCTTAAAATTTCGCGTCAAGGAACATGAGGCATATGTTAGAAAAAAGGAAACACAGAAGACTTCTGTTGTTCAACATTGTTGGTCCGAAAACCACACTTTTAATTTTTCTGCTGCCAAAATTATTCAAAAAACATCTTCCATTGGAGAACTGGATTTTCTAGAGGCATTTCACATTCATAAAAATATTTCTGTTCTAGTTAACGATCCTAATTCCAATCCAAATTTGCCTTCGGCCTTTAAAGAAATTATGTTTTAGTTCTGGTTTCACCAACAGATGGCGCCACTTGCTTATTCTTGTTCAGCTTTCTTATCTTATCTAATCATTATTTCCTATCTTGTTCATTTGCGGTTTTGCAGCTGAGGATGGTGGTTCGGTAAAACCATCGAAACTAGTTCTGTGAACATTTTGTAAATATAACGCTGATTTTTGTTGTTTGACTTCTGAATTAGTATTTATTCGGCGTGTTATTGTGTCTTAATTAAGGATAGTATTCAATGCAATTATTTAATGAAGATTCGAAAACGCCTTGCTTTAACTGGGGGAAAAGATTTGCATTTTGAAACCTCAGATTCTGTGTTTTTAGATGGTATTTCTGTGTTTTTAGATGGATAGAAGGTATTTTCTCCCTCCTTTCTGCATGCCTTAATGGTGTAACGTTAGCACATTTGGCCCGTATTCGAGAGGTTCAGGTTCGAGTCCCGGCGGACCCGGAGAGGTTAGGCGGTTCGGTTCGAGTCCCGGAGGTCCAGGTTCGAGTCCACTACACATTTCTTCAGTTTCCTGACTTCGAAAAAAAATCTAATAGCTCTACAGTGGCGCTTGCACTGAAAGGTGGTGGATGATGATTCTTTGCCACCAGGATTTGGTGATGGGTCTCTTAATCCCCAATCGCCCTTTAAAAGGAATTCTGCATACCTACATGGTGTAACAGTAGCAAACTCGGCGCGTATTCGAGAGGTTTAGGTTCGAGTCCTGGTGAGGGCATTGCACATCTTTCACATCTCCTGCTTCAAAAATAACCTAACGATTCTACAGATGCAGTTGATCAGAATTATAATAATTTAATGCTTGACAGTCTCTCTTTTGGGAGTTCTAAGACACTTGAACTGATGAGCGATGGGAACTAGCAGATGTAATATATTATAGTAAAGCACTTGAGAGCTGTTTGTCGTAGAAAGAATTAGGCAATATCCTCAAAGATAACACCTCAATCTCCTCAAAAGTTGTTCTTGAATATGACTGATAAATGCATCACCATCCATTAATGGAATCATTATACCGATCCTACTGTAACGGAATATAAAATATCATGTTCATTTAACAATGTAACTGAAACAGAATGAAACTAAAGTACCAGTATAAATCGTGACAATACTTTCCAACAGTGTACCTAGATTTTCCAAGCTTGCAATGAGGTTCAATATTTATTTATTGAATGAAAACGTACTCCAATATGGAATTGGTTCAAAGAGAAAACACGTAGAAACAAGGGATATCAAGTGCTTACCAGGTTTGAAACATGGGTCAGATATATACATGGGCAATCCATTGAAAGATCTGAAGCATCTTTCAGCGCCACTTTATTGCTAAAGGGAGACTCCCTACTACGACAAACTTGTTCACAGCATGCCAGTCTCTTTTACTTTACCCATAGCAGCATGGGGTCATCGCAACATATTAAACCTTCTTTGCTTCATCAAAAATCAGGGTCTGGGTGCGTCTTTTTGATTAATATAAGGAAGCTATTTTACTTTTATTAGATTGCTTGATATATTTTTATTAGTGCTTGATATATTTTTATGTTCGTCTGCATTTGTTACCTTTGACTGCACAGAATATTGTTCCAGTTACTATCTCAAGAAACAAAAATGTCATTGTCTTAATTTTCAAGAATCAATGTAGTGAGATATAGTTTAATTAACATCTATCAGCTGCAATGGTATAAGTACATTATCCTCGCAAAAGGATAAGACCGAAATAGAACACATCTCGAAATTACATTACTTTCTGTTTCAGACGAGTATCATAGCTAGAGGCACCATGTTGACGTTTTAAGAAAATACGTTTTGATTGAAATGATGAAAATGAAGGGATGTGTATTCGTTTACTGAAAGATTCCATGTAGTCTTATGTAGTGTTTTCCAAATGTTTAAGTCTCCCGATCAACATGCATCTAGTAGTTTCGATCTAACAAGACTCACATGCGTATAGTTAGTTACTCTGATAAACGAAAGATGGAAAAAGAGATTTCGAGAGGAAAAGAGTATAATAATGAAGTAATAATAAATAAGCATATATAGCTGCTAATAATTAATTCTTAATTATAGATTAATTAGTATTTACATGTAAGCATATATAATTATCACAATAATTTCAAATCGCATCGCGAGACTAGAAAAATTGTCTCCTGAGCCACACTTTGCCAACTACTGGTCCTAAAATGCATAACGTTAAAACCAAAATAATTATATATTTCTATGTAATGACATCCATGCAAAATAAACCATGATAGGTTTGGTTATTTAATTACGACAAAGTCTCGAGGGCTATCTGCCTAAGGGGAGGGATGCCTTCGTGGAGGACTTTCTAAGGAAAACTGGCTCGTATACATATGGGGAAAACCACGAAAATCCCATGCAGCCAGCCCGTTCGCGGGATTCGAACCTCGGACCGAACTACCAGTGTTCAGCGACTTTACCGCTCGGTCGCTGGTGGGCAATAAACCATGATAAGAAAGTGTTATGCTGTTGAAAGCATTTACTTTATTTTCTTTCATTTATAAAAGGGGGATAGTAACGGAGACTGTGCTTTACGAAATGGGGGGACATTTCCCGATCTAGTTCAACTGGAATATAATTAGTGAATCTTTTTGTCTAAGCCATTTTAACGTAATGGCGCAGCACTTGCCAATCAGGCATTCGATGAAAATTATGTTCAAACCCATCGATCATTTAACCCTTTTTTGACTGAAAGTTGAGAGGTAAAAATCGTTCAATACTGGTAGTTCTGCCCTGAGTTCCATTCCAGGCGTTTTCGTGGTTTTCTCCTTCTGCACATGTATTCAAGACAGTTTCTTTTACAAAGTTCTCAACGAATGGGGCATTCCTTCTCTTAGGCAGGTAGCTCTAATGTGCTTTGGCATAATAATCCAAACCAAACCTCAGTGAAAGCTTTGCTACATAGAGAGGGTCTGATTTTAGACCAATAAGGAGGCATTTACATGGGAATGGTAACTGCGCTCTCGTTTACGAAGTGGCAATCAACCTCCGCTGACTATCATGTCATTCAGAATTGTTTCGAATATAATGCAAATGTATATACCGCCTAGCCGGTATAGAGTTTAGCGTCGCTGAATGCCGTGCCGAAGGGCCTAGGTTCGAATCTCGGAGAAGGCATGGATGTTTGTGAATGTATAGTGTCCGTGCGGCATGGGGGCACTCTAAATATGCGGCGAGCCAAAAATCCTCTCCTGAGATTGGCGGTAGGGGAAGAGGGATGGAAGACCGTCGGATCCGTCACCGGGGTGCTTTCCATGAAGCTTGGAGGGGGAACTGAGCTAAGCCGCCCTGTAAGCTGTAAAGTGCTCAGGGCTGTTGCCAACGACAGATGCAAATTTTTCTCCTCCTGTCGTGGCCTTGAGCTGACTACAGGTCAGACAAGTGAGCATTAGCAACAACAACCATATATTTTCCCACTTACCGATGTATTAATTTTATCGTCATAGGCATGTATTTCAACAGAATGCCATCAACTGGAAGAATTTATTTTTGAGTAGACTTATAAATCATTATCTATTAATGCACTGAAATGTATTTTGAGTTAAGCTGTCATTATTAAAAAAATGTCCTGATCTCTTAATTCTTGATGGTCATTGTAATTCGTTTTTGCTATATCCAATAACGATTTTTCTTTCAATTCATAGGCAATGAGTGAATTTGAAAAGATAAAACGAAGTCATTTGAAAAGAGGAGAATTCTTCGAAGATTCAGATTTTCCTGCCACGCAAACATCTGTTTTCTACCACCAGAAACCTCCTTTTCAGTTCATCTGGAAAAGACCTAGGGTAAGAGATATGAAACATTATAGACTATGATTTATCCCTTTTGGTTTTCATAATACCTTGACTAATATGTACTTATCCCTTTTGTAATGTAATATGTACTTATCCCTTTTGGTTTTCATAATACCTTGCAAATGAAGTTTCTAGTAAGGAATAACTCCTTTCTTTACGCGCTTATGGGGAAAAAAATGATTTTCTGATTGCTATATTTTTTTCGAGTAAAAAAGAATTTAACATATATGAAATTTTGAAACTGTTTCCAACTTTTTCTTGAGCATTTATGTAAGATAACCGTTTGAATAAATCAAAAATCTAATACTCATATTATGGTATTTCTCCTGGAGAAATCTATGAAGTCTGGTGCAATATTTGCAGTTTAAGAACCCATGTTTATCACGTTCAGCAAAAATTGTAGAGTAAATTGAAAGAATGACAAGACAGGCGTTTGTATGGTAAAATGAATGCAAAAAACAGCAGGAGAAAATAGAAGAATTCACATCGTTTGAAAGATAATTTAAAAAATCTCATTTGCGCATTAGACTGAATCTGAAACGGTATTCATGAGTTTTAAAACAAGTACACAAAGGCGTGGCATGACCACATAAAAGATTTACATCAACTACTGTCTTCTACACTGTGTGAAATGGAGCTGACCGGATAACCGTGAAATAACGACTGATCTCAAACTGGCGACCCCCGAAGCAATTTTATGTGGCTCGCGAATATATTTTAGCTATGTATTTGTTCTCAATATAGTGCCAGAAGTTTGTAGACAGATAAGGTTATCGAAACAGTAACTACGTAAAATTTAATGAAACAATAACTAATTTTATCAGCAGAAGAGTTCTGAATCATCAAGTTCATTTCACTGCTCGAAGAAATTGGAATTGAGCACAGAGGAATTATTTAGTATAACGTAATGTGGCAGTGATGCCGAGGAACTCTATTAAAGCAGTTTTTTGATTAATGAATGATATTAAAATTTTAACGAAGCAAAAGTAAATAAATAAAATAAAATCATCGAAGAGCTGTGTAATGAATGACACATGGATAACGGATCTATCGATTTTGTTGCTTTAAACGGACACATATAAATATCCTCAATAAACAGATGCTCGGAAAGAATAAATTTATCACGTGCTTCTTTTAAATCTTTTAAAGCTAAATTTGAATTACGGAAAACGCAGCTTGAGTCAAAATATTTCGTACATTTTCTATATCTCAAGTCCTGCCCTATTATTTCAACTAAAAAACCTCAAAGGTATGAAAAAATACCATTATTATGACAAAAATTTGAAGAAAAAAAAGATTAATAAATTTTAATAAATTATAGTCCGATACTTCATTATTTTTATTTCTATTGAAACGAGTGTAAATAACGCAACAGAAAATCTACAGTTAGAATTAATTAATTTACCAGCGTGATGTAGAGTCATTAGGTTATTTTGAAGGAGGAGACATGAAAAATGAGCAATGTCCTCGCCGGGATTCGAACCTGGATCTCTCAAATACGCGCCGAGTGTGCTACCATTACACCACGAAGGCGTGCAGAAATGAGGAGAGGAAATACCTTATGTACCCCCTTTTAAAGACGACTGAGGATAAGGGGACCCAATAGTCATATCCTGGTGCTAAAGAATCATCAGGTACCACCACCTCTTTTAACTTTTAATTCGGGCGCCACTGTAGAGTCATTAAGTTTTTATTTTATTTTATTTTTTTTATGCTGAGAGACGTGAAAAATGAGCAAAGACCTCACCTGGATTCGTTCCTGGACCCCCTGAATACGTGCCGAGTGTGCTACCGTTGCAGCACAAAGGCATGCGGAAAGGAAAGAGAAAAAAACCTTATAGTGATATAAATCCCATTCAATGATTTGAAGATATAGATTTGATTTACTTTTATTCTTACTTGTCAAAAGATAAATATCCTCAGTTACGAATTTTTGGAACAAGAATAACTGCTTTGTTTGGGAGTATATATGTATGTGAATTTTGGAAGTTTATTTGTATGTGAACAGTGTATTAAGAAATCTGAGAAAAGATTCCGATTGACCGATGAATCCGTGATGAAGATAATTTTCTAGTAATTTTTCTCCAAAGATTTAAATTTTATCAGAATCGAAATATCATGAAGTGACAAGTTTTTGTAACATATAAAGAAGTTTATAATTATTTACATACCAATATATGTATATTTTTTTGCATGTGTCGAAGGAATATTTAGTGTAAAAAAGAAAGAAATTCGCCTTTATTTATTCTCATGATTTGTCACACTTCGAAAGTTTTACGTGTAAATCTGGGAAGTTTTCTTAAAATTTGCTTATTTTTAATTTAAGTTATATAGTGGTCAATTCATGGTATTAAAATTATTTGAAATCAACCTGAGTTTGAAAATACAACATTTACCTATCAGTATGTTTGGAACGCGCAGTGTAACCAAGAGAAATTTCTTACAGGTACCAAAGCTTAGTCTTCAGGTTGAAAATAAATACGAACTGGAAATTTTCTGTTAAGGATTAGGTACCTAAAAACGTTTTTTAAAAAATTTACTCGAAAGGGAAAAAAATCTCTCGATTTTAGCAAGAGAGAGATTAAAAGATTATAGTTTGAAAAATAAAAACTAAGTACCGTAATTTCCGGAAGAAACGCCGCGGCGTTTATATGTTTAAAACTTAAATTTTCAGCGGGTGCGGCGTTTCTACCCATGCGGCGTTTAGATGCACTAAAAATAAAATATTTCCTATGATGGTCATTGTACATACGAGTTTTTCGTAGTTTGGATGGCCTTGTCATTGTGCGTAGACTGGTGCTGTTCCCACACAAAAGACCACTCAGTTGATTTTTGCGAGCTTTATTTTGTTTACATTCTTTCCCTTGAACGGACCTACATGCCTTATTCACCCTAAACGAGATCTCAGAACAATAACATTCTTCCCCCTTTCAAATCAACATTCTCATCAGTTTGAATAGTCTCTCTCCTCTGCCATTCGATGAATCTTCCAGGACCCATCCTTTCCCCACCCCTGCCTTTTCCATTGTAAATCTACTGCAGTTTTTGTTTCAAAGGCGAACACGACTCCACCTGCATTCGTAATAACGAATTCTGGCGTATTTCCCCTTCAGCATGAATGGATTTTTTCTTGGCATTCTGCCAAATACAGATCCCATCAGTTTGGGTACAAGTACTTGTTGGATAGTTTTTAAGTAAGAAGGGAGCGGAAAATTTTTGAAAATGGTACTCTAAACGGCACAGAAGCTATACATTTCTTACCTTTAATTTATTTTTGAGTTATGGTTTCATTTCATGCATTTTTCTTAACTGGTATGTCATATATCAGGACTTAGGTTGAGTTTTTGCATCTATACGGCCCACGACGATGTCACGCGCAATTTAATCTATTGCGGCGTTTACGCTGATGCGGCGTTTCTGTGTAATTTTAATTTTTTTCCCGCCATTTTTCTCGAGTGCGGCGTTTACGCTGATGCGGCCTTTCTTCCGGAAATTACGGTACACAGAAAAACATTGTAGCAAATATAATTGAATATTATTAAAATAAATTTTCAATTAAACCCTATTCGAGGCAAATTATATTTTAAGACTATAATTACCAAACATATTATAAACTTACACTCAGCACACCACACACACACGTCATGCGTAGTATTAGGTTATAAAAGAATCATATTCATATATTAAGGGTATATATATATATATATATAGTGTTATACGATCGTAACCAACTTATATATTTATCAGACAAACACATACACTGAAGAGCCAAAACATTATGATCACCTACTAAATAATGCTTTGCGCGATCTTTAGCCTGAAAAACAGCTAGATCTAGCCTTGGCATGGATGCCACAAGTTCTTGGTGGCATGGAGACAGGTTGTACCAAATGTCTAAGCAGCGGCCACGCAAATTCGAGATATTACAACATGGTGGTGTTTGAGCTCTAAGCTATCATTCCACGACATCCGAAATGTGCTTTATCGGGTTAAGATTCGGCCAGTTAGGTGGGCAGGAAATTAATTAGAATTCATCCTCATGCTCTTCGAACCACTTCAACATAATTCGAGTGACCTTGTGACATGCGCCGTTGTCCTGCTGGAAAATTCCATTTCCAGTTGGGAAGACAGAGCCCATGTAAGGGTGCAACGGATCCGCAGTTATGTTGAGGTAGTTCGCAGCTTTCACGGTCTATTCTACCACAAGGGGCCCAGATCCGTCCATGAGAAAGTTCCCCAAAGCATAATACCTCCGTCACTATATGTAACGTACTGCACAGGGGGAGCAACTGTTCACCTGGAAGACGGCATACCCTGATACGCCATCGACGTGATGAAAGAGACATCGTGATTCATCGGACCAGTCCACTTTTCCATGGCCCAATCTCGATATTCGTGTGCCCACTGTAGACGTAATTGACATTGACGCTTGGTGAACTGAGGCACACGAGTCGGAGATCTGCTGCGCAATTCCATATCCAACAGTGTACCCTGAACTGTAACACTTGCACTTGGGCCTGCATTGTATTTGGCTGTCAGCTAAGCCACTGTTTAGTGCCGATTTTGCTGTAGCAAGGACAGTTTCCGAGGTCCCGCTTGCTACAGCAAAATCGGCTACAGCAACTGCTTTGATGACGAGTGGATGTCCAACACCTTGGCTTCTACTACTAGTTTCACCATCATTTATCCACTTTGCTTAAATACTAACAATGGCAGATCGTTGAAAACCTACCAACTGTGCAGTTTCGGAGATACTTGTTCCGAGTCTTTGGGCCATTGCAATTTGTCCTGTATCAAATTCGCTTAGATCAGCAGCCATTCCCATCATTCGCAAAAGCAAGTGCAAGAATGATTCCTTACTTCCTCCAGTAGTTTAATACTAGTCCCATTAAATTACATGTTCTCCACGTTATCCAGACGAGTTTATTGAAAAATGTGGGGATGTTCATAACGTTTTGTCGCGTCAGTGTATATATATCGGGTTCGCAAGA